TCTAGTTTTGTACTTTTAAAGTGTAACAGAATGAAGGTGATAAAGATATCAGCTGAATGCAGTTGAGCTGAATAAAAAGACTTTTATAATTCATTGTATTCTCTCACTCTTTGTCTCAGGTTGGCTCCATGAGCTGGCCAAACGTCTGGGTACCCCGTATTTCCCCCCTGCCCTGACAACGCTGTTCCCCTCCACGGTCAGCAGCATTCCAGCCGACAGCAGTCAGTGGAACGTGTCTGGGTCAGAGGTCGCAGGGCAAGGAACCTGGAATTCTAGCCAGTATTACGGGAATGTTTCAGGAAGCGAGACTGCTTCTGGGACAGCTGGTGGGAGTGGGAGTTTCAGTGTGCTGGGCGGTGGTCCATCAATGCGCAGCAGCTATGTGACCTCCCTCTACTTTGCTCTGAGCAGTCTGACCAGTGTGGGGTTTGGAAATGTGTCAGCCAACACAGACTCAGAGAAGATCTTCTCCATCTGCACCATGCTCATAGGAGGTAAGGAATGTGTGGACACATCTTAGTGCTTCCTCTCAGAGTTTGAAGTTCTTATTCTCTTCTCAGCCTGAAGTACTCGTTCAGCTCTTTTTCAGGTGTGGGTGAGTCATAAACAAACAGCTGCACACATTTTGTTCCATCCCTGGTTTCAAAAGTGTTTCTTTTTTTGAGTAAAACATAATAGATTATCAAACCTGTATGCAAATCCTCTCACTCACTGTCTCATTACTCTCATTTTCCAGATTGAAAAGTTTCATTACTTGCTTGGCCATAAAATTCTTTTGTTGTTCTCAAGATACATCACAAGTACTGAGCAGATTTAAATTAAAATTTTGATTCAAAGAAACAAGTGATGGTGCATAAAAAAACTTTTTAAATTTATGATTTTGTCATAAACTATTACAATGACTGTCTCTTTCTTATTCTTGATTCCATTTTTGTTTGAGCCTGTTGAACAGTTGTACATGGGCTCAATAGTGGATCTACTCTAGCTTAATCACAGATGAAAGATGTGTTCGACTCACAGTGTGCTACTTGTTTGAACTCTGTGTTCTTATGCGTGTCCTCTTGGGCCGCAATGAAGAGAACTGAATGTTCACGAAGAGAGCAATAAATGAAGAATCGGGAAGGAAATGGAGTCACTGGAAAGGTTATCACGAGAGAAATGCAGCAATTTATGGGCAGAGGACACAATAATGTGTGCAGATGTCTCAGACACACACACACACACACACACACACACATTTCTTTTTAGTGGGTTAAACCTTGACATTAACCATAACTACTCACATGCAGTTGTGCAAGTAAATACTGAAAGACACATACAGACACACACACTCAGCTAATAGGTGGGAAAACACATTCTGCAGACAGCTGATAGAATCTGTGTCCAACAGTCGTCCAAGAAAGAAAAATGAAATCTATATTTCCCAGTCGAGTGAAAGCAACACTGTAACTTTAACAAAGGCTGATTTAAGTGTGCATGTGTACTCTGAACCAATGATGTCTGCATGTATCTCTTAGATGGCAGGAGAACGCTTAATGTAAGAGTTACAGGGAGTTTTAGCTACTATCATGGTAAATGGTAAATGGACTGATTATTATATAGCGCTTTTATACTCTCCCGGAGTACTCAAAGCGCTGTATACAACATGCAATCAGATCATCAAAGTACTTTTTCCACCACCGTGTGGCCCATTTGTTGCAACAGCAAGTAGGCATTTGTTCATTCTTATTTTCAAAGAGTTCTGCTACTGCAGCACCTTAGACAGCACACTTTGACTGTGTGATGGAGGTTAATATGTGCATTTTGCTAATTATGGAAATGTCATAGCTTCTCAATCTGCCTACAGTAGCATGAATCTGCCTTGCTATTTACTGCTTTACTTTACCTATCACATCCCAAAGGAGGACATGTCTATACACAATCAGGAAAAACTGACTTTAAAATTACCTTTTTGCTCTGGTTGCGGTCTTTATCCTTCAAACGTCCACCATTATAATTGTCCTGTTGGTATCTGGAAGTCCCACAGCATTGGTTATTCTCAACCACCCTAGAGATCATATTCCATTTTGACCTCTGGACTTCCAGGCCGTGCTCAGCTCACATGTTCCTATATAATATGCCAGGTTGGTTAAAGCGCTATTCCCTGATTGCTAGCATCTTAGCTCCTTTGTTAAAGGAGATTGCTGTTAGATTGAATGTAACAGCAGTGAGAGTAGACCACAGCTTCATTAATCTCTATAATGTTTTCCTTAAACATAGTTTAATGTTCTCTCGTGGTAAGCTGCTGCACACAGATATTATGAGCTATAACTTAGAGATAATTCAGCCTTTTAAAAACCCAGTTTCTTTATAAAATGAAGCCATTAGTCTGGCTGTCAGTGGACCGTGTAAGTGTCCCCGTGGCCTGACTGCTGTTTCAGCAGCTTTTCAAACTGCTTTTTGGAAGAGAAACTGCTGTGTGGCTCCCTCAGGAAAAAGCGCATTATGAAACAATTCCAGTCTTTGGGGATAGCTGCTGGTTAGCTGTGCTCACATTAAGACCAAACCTGTGTGTGTGTGGCACTGTTGAACAAATATGCTCACACTGGGGTTGGAGCTGTTTTGGGGTTTGTTTGGAATAATAATTTAGTTGTCATTGATTAGAAATAAAAGGTTTTCCGAACAGTGGAATTATTTTTCAGCAGTGTGTTACTGACATTCTGTGAAAATCGTAATCTACTCTCGGCAGTGCTTCACAGTGGTTTTAGAGCAGCTGAGTCCTTCTAAGCCCTGTGCTTTTTAACTTCTCAGGGCTTATAAAGACATCCCATGAAGCTTCCTGCTGCGCAGAAGTATTATGGGACTTTAATGAGGTCTTTTCTAGAAAGAAGCCAATCGAGCCGCAGTAATTAATTCTGTATCAAACTAGAAGCACACCGAGAACAATAAAGAAATCTTTCCTCTGTGTCCAGCACTGATGCATGCAGTTGTGTTTGGCAACGTGACGGCCATCATCCAGAGAATGTACTCGCGCCGCTCGCTTTACCACACCCGCACCAAGGACCTGAAGGACTTCATTAGAGTCCATCGGTTGCCCAAAGCTTTGGAGCAGCGCATGCTGGAGTGTTTCCAAACTATGTGGTCAGTCAACAACGGGATAGACGTTAGTGAGGTGAGAAGCTGCTGTTTATGTTGCACTGCTTACACGGAGTTTATAGCCTGTTCTCCAGAGTGAAAGCTCAAAGATGCTCTCCACTAAACAGCTTCACTGTTCAGAGGAACCAGAGTTCAGCACTGGACGTCTTGTTGTCTGCTGGAAGTTTTATCTACACCTTGAGTTGAGAACAGGGTCCAATGTACAGCTTGAGATGAAAGCCTGCTCTGAGGCTTTCTTGCACAAAAACATTTTTTTGTGGTTTAGCCTCTTATACTCCACAAGAGTGGATTTTAAATCAAACTGACTGAAGTGCAGACTTTCAGCTTGAAATGAACACAACACGTTTTACATAAACTTTAGTGAGAATTGTTTAAGAATTACAACCATTTTTACGGATTGTCACTGAGAAGTTTGCCTGCTCAGCTCCCAGTTCTTACACCTAAGCGACACTTTAACACGTCGGTGGTAAAGCTGTGAGCTACAGACACAGAATAGCATAGAGGTCACCAGTGCTTTTAGGTGTCAAATCTGGAACTTTTCTCTGACTTTAATTTTAAGACTTTCTCAATTATAAATAAATCAGGATTATTGGAATGATCTATTTATACATTGCAGCTTGAAAAGATTTGCCCAAGGCAAGTAAATATGCTAAACTTAAGGGCCTGATATACCACGAGCAACCCTGAGTAATGTAAAAAAAAAAAAAAAAGTAGTCCTAGATTATTTCAGCATGTCTTACAAGCTTCTCTGATCTTGCATGTGGTTTGAGATGCCCACTGAGTACTTTAAACTCTCTGTGGGGTTATCACATTTTTACATTTGGAGAGGCTCTTCAAGCCTGCGGCAAAGGGTTATTTTTTGTATAAAACTATATGGAAGCCTGTTTTAAAGTAAAGACCAGCTGTTCAGTGTGAACTTTCACTTCACAGCTTCTGAAAGACTTCCCAGATGAGCTGAGGGCTGATATCGCCATGCACCTGAACAAGGAGCTGCTCCAGCTGCCTCTGTTTGAGTCAGCCAGCAGGGGCTGCCTGCGTTCCCTCTCCCTCATCATCAAGACCTCCTTCTGCGCTCCCGGGGAGTTCCTCATACGGCAGGGAGACGCCTTGCAGGCCATCTATTTCGTCTGCTCAGGTTCCATGGAGGTCCTGAAAGACAACACTGTGCTGGCTATCCTAGGTAAGTCAGAGAAACAGTAAAGTTCTCTTAAGCAGAGAACACGATGTCCTGTCAGTGTGTTCAAGGATAACAACATTTTTCAGTCAAGTTGCCAAACTGCAAAAAAAAAAAAAAAGATCACACGGTTACTTAATTAAACTAAAATGCAATTAGGATCTCTGTTGTTTGAAGGAAGGACACAGAAGTGAGTGAGAACTACACGGGACACCCTTGGCTCTGACAGACAATTGTCTTTGAAACTGAGATTTGGAGGATGTGAGATGATCTGCGGGACATCGTGCTGAATATTAAACGAAGGGGTAGAATGGTTCGTTTGAGAATGTGCCGGCTGAATGTGTGCCTGTGTTAATATTAAGTGCTGCTAACGAAGTATGGACTTCAGAGGGGGAAAGAGAGATCATCTCTCAGTTCAGTGATTACAGTTAAAATAATTTCACAGTGCTGGCTCAGACCTGCAGAGCAAACTGGTCTGGAGTGTCTAATGGAAATTAAAATTGATGATGGTGAAAAAGGAGAAGGAAGGCAGGACATAAAACAGGTGTGTGTTTGTGTGTGCGTGCGTGCGTGTGTGTGTGTGTGTGTAATATTCAAACAAAGGGGAAGACGAGGCTGAAGGCGAGCTGATAAGGAGCAGCTGTTTATGCTCTGCTGCTTTAAAGAGACGTTACCAAGCTTGATACAAGCCGAGAGAGTAATGATTTCCCACAGTGTTGATCCTGTGAGCTCGACAGAATAATCTTCTATTTACTGTGAGCAGAGATGAAACAGGTCTTACACTGTATGCAACTATAACCAAACTAATAAATGAATGGATGAATGAATGGATGAGGGTTTTTGTTGGCAGTTTGGCACTTCTGTTTTAATCTTTGTGCTGTCAGTTAATGTAATGAATCTAAGAATCAGATGAGGCTGGAGAACTTTATTCCTTACATGGCAAAATGTAGGAAAAACCTCTGCAGTGAAGGAATCTTTAGGCTCTGTAATGCAATGGAGGGAATTTTGCTGGCAAGGAAGAGAAGCTACAGTTTTCGATAGTTTGTCCAACACATTTATAAATCCCTTTTCTATGCAGCACACGTATGCACACAACATATATGATTATGGTTCTGAACAACGACACCAAGCCAGTGTTTGTAGGCAGCATAGTGAAAGTCAGTGAGGCCTACCTCGGCCAATGAGTTTGTTCTGTTTGTTACACTGCACTGCCAAAAGTATTCGCTTGTCTACCTTCACACACATATGAACTTTAATGGCATCCTATTTTTGTTCCATAGGGTTTAATGTACCATATTTTTTGGACCATAAGGCGCACCGGATTATAAGGCACATTAAACAAAACAGTCAGATAAGTCAAACTTTACTCAACTCATTCTTCTTGCTTCCTCCACTTCCTTATCTTTTCTCACTGTTGCTCTGCCATCACAGAATCTCTGTGCTGCATCACTGATATGTCACTGAAACACAGACCCGCTCACACACGTGTGTCTCCTACCTGGTCATGTTAAATCCAGAGGTGCATGACAGCACCAAAGCACACGCCAGCAGCTGTGTTTCACTCTTCACACAGGTGAGAGCGGCGACCACAAAGTGGCGGTGAGGCATAAACAGAGAGGCACACATACAGTATGCATAATAATGTTGGCTGGTGTCTATAACAGGTATCGTCTGTGGCCTATGATAGTGAACATTGTTGGGGTCATTACTCAAAAAGTAAATAGTTCAGTTGCTGGGTAACAGAGCGTAAGATGAATGTTCTGGCTAGAATCCCACACGCTGACACAAATCACTGTACCAATGGGGACAGTTTTAGTGTTTACTATGAATAGCAAAGGTGGAAACCAGCCCAAAGAGCACTCTGAAAAATGTGGCTACAATGGTTCTCATGAAGAAACAGGTACAGGCTCAAATGCACGCTACAGTTCTACAAGCCACACGGCTCATCAGATGCTTTGGTTACCTGCAGAAAATCAAGCTTTTGGCTCCTTGGCCATGGGCAGCATGCACTATGGATCTGGGGTTTCTCACTACTAGACTTGTGTTGGCATTCCATCTTTGCACATACTTGGAAGAGCTGATGTCAGCAGTGGATAGCTGTTCCCGGCTTGGGTGCCGATTTCCGCTTCACATCCGTGTCTTTTTGTGCACTAAGAATAAAATGAATGATCGTGTCAACCCTCTTCTGAACTTGCAGACCTGCACATGACTTGAACACAAGTGTCTGATTTAATCTCTTTTGGTTACTGAATTCAGTACAGTAATGTGTTACTTGAGCGAGTGGGGATTGCAGTTTTTGTCGCAATTTTTTTTTTTAGCCATGGAGGTTGGTTTCTGAGAGAAGCGGGTTTTCACAAGACACGCAGCTCTTTTGGAAAACATGTTTCTTTCAGCCAGTTTACATGATCAACATAAGTACCTATGAGACTCCAAAATGTTTAGTGGTGATTAAATCGTTGGCAGAGCTTGAACTTTAAACAGCTTGTTTGAACGAGAGGATGAACTGAGGAGCTGCTCAGAAATTGAATTAGCGATTAGTAAGTCCCTTTTAATTTGAAACTATCACACATCCTGACAGTAGCTCAGCTCTGCTGGCATGTTCAGGAGAGTGACTGGAGCTTCTACTCACACACTTGAGTTATTAACCTCCCACAACAGGGGAGCAGTGACATTTTCCTCTCAAGCCAGTAACACCTCCACCTCAGAGTTTAACTTCTCATAGGCACCTGAAAAGCAAAAACCCTTCAGAATCTCACCGTGATTCATTTATGGTTCCACGATTTATGTTCGAGAGTGCAACTATCAAGGTTCTCACACATCACAGAAATCTTATAAACATTTGAAAGATTAAAAAAATGATTTCAAGAAGCATGGGAAGTAATAGGCTATCTTGAAATAGGTATGAAGGTGCATCAAAGTTGATTAATGTTGCTGTATGAGCTGTCATGGGTGTTAGTAGCTTTCAAAATATTTTTTGTCAGATGTCTTCACTGACAGCCAAAAGCTGTAATTAGAGCGTGGTGCAGGGTGAATACTGTGGGTGTCTTGGAGCGAGTTTTTTTCTTACTAGCCACATGCCAGTAGGAAAACATAAGTATGAGCTTGGTATACAGTATTACCTCAGACTCTTCCAAATGAGAAATGTGGTTCGGAAATGTTCTTCAGTCCTGCCGCTTGCTGTTGCGACCGGTTCTGGGTGTGCTGTGTAGGAAGGCACAAACTTTTTGCCAACAAAGTTGTGATTATGTGGAAATTGTGAAACAGAATGCAGCAATTGGCAAATGTTTTAAACCCTATTTGTAACTGAGAGAGTGCAGAGAAAACACAACAAATGTTTTTTTTGCTGCCAAAACAGTCCTGACCTATTGAGACATGGACTCCACCAGAACGTGTGCTGTTTTATCTGACTGATGGTAGCGACAGGTCCTTTAAGTCCTGTAAGCTGTGAGGGCCCTCATGGATCGTTTGTCCAACATGCTTGATTGGAGTGAGATCTGAGGAATTTGGAGGCCATGTCAGCACCTCAAACTCATAGTTGTGCTCCTTCTCATTCCTTAATCAGTCTGCTACTTTGTGGCAGGGTGCATTATCCTGCTGAAAGAGGCCACAGCCATCAGGGAGTACCGTTTCTATAAAATGATGTACAGCAGCGGTCCCCAACCTTTTTTGCGGAACGGACCGGTTTAATGTTTTCATGGACCGGCCTTTAAGGTGTCGCAGATAAATACAGCAAAATAAAATGATACGACCGAGACAAAAACTGTGGTATTCTGTAAGTATCATAATAAACGCAAATTAACTGTGTAGTTGTGTAACTTTATTAGCAGCGTCCTCCTGAAATGCGCCGACAACATTGAGAGTAACATCCTCCTCTCTGCCCCTTAGTGCTTTCTGGTTTGCTGGTGTACATGGTCTGCAACAATGGTTAGGTAGGTGGTATGTGTCCAAGTAGAATCCACATGGATGGCAGGATGTCCATCAATGAGCCTTAGTCACCCATGACCTCATCGCTGGTTCACAATTGTTCCTTATTTGGACCACTTGTGGTAGATGCTGACCACGGCAGACCTCGAACACCCAATAAGAGCTTTTGGAGATGCTCTGACCCAGTCCTCTAATCACCCTTGTCAAACACACTTGCCTTACACTTGCCCATTTTTCCTGCTTCTAACACATCAACTTTGAGGACAAAATGCTAACTTCCTCCCTAATATGTCCCAGCCACTAACAGGTGTCATGATGAAGAGGTAATCAGTGTTCTTGACTTTACCTCCAATCCAATCCAATTTTATTTATAAAGCACTTTAAAATACCCAGCACAGGAACAAAGTGCTGTACAGAAAATAA